ATAACAAAAGGGGAATGCGTCTCTAGGTCCTATTATGGCTACAAAGAGCAAATAGCACACACACACATAGATCATATCACTATCAATAGCAGCAGGAGTAGGAGGATTTATTTTGGGTTTTCTTTTTTTGGTGGTGAGTCATGGTAAAGCCATCAACATACACAGCTAAATATATATATTTGTTTCCACTAGTTTGGGCCAGTTTTCCTTTGATAATTAAAAAAAAATGTCTATTAACATTTACCAAGAAATGAAACCTGGTTTGTCATGAATAAAACACTGTCAGGGTTATTCACAAAGCCGCCGAAGGCAGCCGAGCGAGTAACCCACCCGCAGTGAAGTGAGCCGAACAACATTGGGCTATTCACTTCAGGCTTGTACAGCTGATTGGCTTCGGCTGGCTTCGCTTCAGCCGAACATGCTCAGCATGTTCGACTGAGCCGAAGTGAAGAACACGTTCGACTCAGCCGATCCAACATCTGGATCAGCTGAGCCGAACCTCCGTCAGGCTACTCGCTGCCGTTCAGCTCCGTGGTACCTAGCAGAATAGAAAATCCATGAAAAAAGTAAAAAAAAAAAGTAGAAAAAAAGTTAAAAAATGTCAATAAATGATAAATGTTAAAAAAATAACGATTTCTTAAATTTTTTTTTTTTTAGAAACGATATATAAAAAATACAATTGGGCGGAGCTACCAGTGACAGCTATCTCCGCCCAACTGTTCCCTACTGGCCGTTACCTGCTAGAGACCTCTAGCAGGTCCCGGCCAATGAATAACTACTGGGCGGGTCACGGCCGGCTCCGCTCAGTTGTCATTGTTTAATGATAGTTAACCTGGGGACGCTGATCTGTCATTTCAACTGGGCAGAGCCATCTGTGAGATCACGGCTAGCTCAGCCCAGCTGTCAGTTGCGAGGCTTGCCACTTCAGCTCAGTCAAGCCGAAGCATATGCCGTCTGCTCAGCTGAGCCGCTCGGCCAGCTTCGGGAGCTGTACGGGCTATAGTGAATAGCTCGTACAGCAGCCCTTCGAGGGATCCTTCGGCTAGCTTTGTGAATAACCCCCTGTATAATTCACCTGGATACATGAAGTAGATGTAAAGGTATTGACAGCTTTACTAACAATTAGACATTGGGTGCCCCTTAATTAAATAAGCCCCCTTGCCCGCAGACCCCTACAACCACCGAGTCAGGGTTGTGGGGAAGAAGCCCTTGAAAAACCCCCCCCCTTTCCTGCCCTGTCGGGCCAGTGCTCGGATAAAGGGTCTGGTAGGAATTTTAGGGGGACCCAACGGTTTTTTCCCCCATTTTTTAAGGCTGGGGTTCCCCCTTAAAATGTCCTACCTAAAGGGCCTGGTATGGATTTTGGGGGAACCCCACTCACTTTTTTTTATTTGTTTCAACTTTTCCCTCCTAACATTCCTACCAGACCTAAAGGGTCTGGTATGAATTGGGGGTTAACCCCACACTTTTTTTTTTTCTTCAGCAGACAAAAAAAAAATAAATGTTTTTTCTAATGTCATTTTGCTGCAACAAAATTTCGTACAGACTACCGCTAACGAATTTCAGAATCGGAAATTCGCATTTGTTTGCATTCGTTATTTCTGTAATTCGGAATTTGGATACATGTCCGAGTGTCCGAAATTTCGTCTGAATTTCGATTCGGAACGAAACGAATCGCACATGTCTAACAATTGCCAAAGCTTGCAAAGAATCAAAACTTATTAATATTTGTATTGAAGTGACACTAAACTCAGGAGGTAATCCTTAAAAATACATTCAAGAACCTTAACTAGTAACAACAATGTATCTTATTTGTGTATCACTCGGCTGTAGATCCTCAAATCACCTCTGAATTGGTGCTGACACCGTCCTTCCTTCTGGAGGGGGGCTACTTTTGTTCTCCATGGTCCCTGTGCCAGCACCAATTCAGAGATGATTGGAGGATCTACAGCCGAGTGACACACAAATAATATACATTGTTGTTCATAGTTATCGTATTTGAATATATTTTTAAGATATAACTCCGGAGTTTAGAGTTACTTTACGTGCTGTCATTAGGAGGAGGTAACGTCCGTTGCTATTTACGCAAACAAAACAAATCTAGGAACGCCCCCACTCCCTACACGTCATGAGAACACTGACGTATCACTGCTGTATCACTGCTGTATAATAGCTGAGTGCTACAACTCATGAGCACAGAGAGTAGACTCTGCTCGCAGCAAGAAGATCCAGGAACACGGTAAGATCTCCATTTCCTCCTATCCGTCTTACACATTCACACGTGTCTGCACAGTACTAGGCTGTCTTGTGTGTTGTAGTTCTCGTATATATTAGCAGACATTGTGCATTGAGTAGAATGTTATATTAATATAAAGTTATATTAATAACACAGTTGCTGAGTGCTCGGTGTATACTTACAATGGGGAGGATAAAGTCTTTTCTTCCGGGGATGACTTAAACTGGCCGTACAAGGCTCGAATTTGATCCCAAGGTGGTTCTGTTGATCCTCCCCCGACTTGGCAAACTTTGATTGAAAAATCTAAGGAGCCGGGAGGCAAATTGTCAGATGAACAATGACTGCAGCCAATAAGCCAATGAGGATACTGTTTATTAATTCAGAATTTACCGGGACACACTGGCGGGTGGTATAGCCCCAATCTGTCCCCAATCTGTCCCCATTGTGGACCCAAATCCCCTGGTCCTTTATCCCTGTACGGTTGTCCCTTGTCTGACTATGATCATCAGTTATATATAAATGTATTATATGACTGGGCATAGGGATGTAAGTTTCTGAATGTGAAAGTTTGGCATTCGGGAACTTACACCCCCCATACACGTGTACATTGTTAATGCCGTGTACTTGTGTTTACACCCTTATAGCTGTGTACATTGTATCCTGTCCATGCAATCCTATGGACACAAAAACCTAGCTGTTGGGGCTCCCGGGTGTTACTAATACAGAAATATTATACACTACGCTTATCAATCTGTATTTGTGTCCGTGTGCATGAGCACATACTATATAGTGTAAGGACTTGTCTGATTGGATATAAATGGTTACATAGATGAGGTAGATCCTTACATTACAGGGTGTTGGTGAATCTAAGGTTGATTATACAAAAATTGTAACATACGGTGACCCTTAGTACTGTATATCATTTTTTTTTATATGGTATACACGTTGTCTGTACATTGATCAAATAATATTTTGCCCAAGGATTACTGATGGGCCATTTTATTTCATTAGAAGTGATGGAAATCTGACAGGGGAATGTTTTGCCTTTTATTTTAGTGCTAGAGCTTCTTCCATGCACTTCACATTGTCACATTGCCTATTCAGGGCCACTGACCTCCTGATACTTACCCCTACAGCACAGAGGCATTCCCAGGCTGAGGGGTATCACCAAATGCGATTGCCAGGTGTCACCTGCTGGGACATCATCACACACACATAATGACATCACGCACACGTAACTGATTGTGGCCATTTTGGTGGAGGAGGGGTGTTCATCCAGAGGGATAAGTTATGCCGCTGGGTCCCCTCATCTCTCGTGTAGCTATCGGGCTGCTAGTCCATGACTGGGTGCCAGAGGGGGTGACACCAAAATGACTGCCAGTCATTTTGGTGTCACCCCCTCTGATGGTGTTACCTGGTGCGGGCCGCATCCCCTGCACCCCCCTTGTGACACCACTGTTCCAGCACTCCCCTGCTGCTCCATCTTCCTTCACAGTTGCTCCAAAGTTCTGGTGTTGTAGCTAGGGTTGCCACCTGTCCAGGATTTACCCGGACAAACCGGGTTTGGAATGCAGTGTTCGGGTTTCATGGCAGCAGAAACCCGGACACAAGATGTCAGGCAGACAGGGGCAACCAAAATTAAGATAGGGGCTACTGGCCCCCCACTGAAAATAGTCTCAACTGTGATATTTCCATATAAATGGGTGGCGCCTCTTAGTTCTTACATATGAATAAGCCGCGGCTCATTCTCCCCAAAAAGTGTCTGCACGTCAATAGAGTGTTCGTGTTTCGCTCGAAGAAAAGGTGGCAACCCTAGTTGTAGCCTAGAGGGGTAAGAGAGGTCTCCCCCTCTGTCATGAAACAGTGTTCGGGCCCAGTGATTGACTGCTAGGCCCAAATGGGAGGAGACCCTGAAATTTGTTTGATTCCAAATGGGAGAAGACACATGTTCCTCCGTACCCTAAAGCACTAGGCAGTTTGGATCAGCTGAGATGGAGGAAGGAGTGGTGGGTGATCGCTGGAAAGGTGACCATCACTGGGTCAGGCAGTATGCCCTAAATTGTCAAAGTGACAGTTTCTCTTTAGAGTATGGGTCTATTTATATGCTAAAAGCCCTTTATACCAAACCATCATACCCAAAACCAGACCTCAGATGCAGCGCAGACCCTCCACCTCCCCACTGTCTGATGGCTCTGCTAGTTAGTGTTACCCCCATTATTACCCCCTGGTTCCTTTGCTCAATACATGGGCTACAAGATGATCAGGAGAGCTGAAATTGAGAAATATTATTGTAATGAGCTCACAAATGGAAAATAGAAGCAAACGTGATCATGTGACAGTCGAGGTTAATATGGTTGGAGATACAGTATGTGTTATACCCAGAAGTGTCTGTTCACATGTATCCATCTTCCTGCTGTGAATCACATGACCTTCTAAGTGGAAATCCCATCCATTCCTATGTGTGTTTTCTCTTTATAGACGGTGAGCCACCAGAGTAATAAGACTCTTTCATCTGTCCAATGAAAGACACTGCAGTGGAAATAGAACACCTCAGATATATCAGTCCTCAGGACACCGCCAAACACAAACCAGCAATTCCCTATGAATTCCCTGGCTACGGTAAGCATTGGGGAATCGGGTTGTTTGTCGAGCTCGGGGGGCTTTAAAGTTTAGGCAAAATCAGGAAACGTGAACCGTCATTATGTATCCTTATAATGTATACCTGATGGATTTATTTTCTACTTTCTAGAGGCCAACAAACGTTTCCGCGACCTTCTCCTATATATAATACTGGCATTTGCTTTAATCAACATTGTACTTATTGCTATGATGTGGACCGTTGTCTCCCTCAGAGGTGAGTCCATCTAGAAGTCAATTGTTATATATGGGGACATCAAACGCTGACATTGGTCACACAAGAGCTTTCCCATTGGCAAATTGAAATCTTCCTTTAAAGCTGAACTTCAGGGATAAAGGTTAAATACGCTGGACGGGAGACTTATAGGTCTTGTCCCTCCCCCAGCCAGTGAAAGGAGAAGAAGCAGACTGGAGAGGTCATCTCTCTGTCACTTTTCCCTCTTCTCCTATCATCATGCCGCTTGCACTGCAGCATACAAACTCATCAACTCCTTGAGCTGCTTCTACCTCCCCCAGCCTTAACCCTGCTGTACAGAGACTGCATTCGGCTAACACCAAGTCAGGTAGTTGCATTGTATTATTAATTACAGGGCTGCTTTAAGTGTGTTTTCTAAATCTGCCTGCAGTTCAGCTTTATTATTATGACCTGCGCTAGGAAAAGGAGAGTTGTAATTGAATTGGACACTAGCCATAATTTCCTCCATGCAGGAGGCCCATTGCATTTGGAAACCACAGGAAAAAAAATGTTCTTGTACACCAATCAGATTATAGTTCTCTTTCTTATACTGGGACATGAAAAAGAGAATGGTATTTCTATAGGTAACACTACACACATTCCTCCCCCCATAATACGATTACCCCACCAATGCTGAATGTAGATTGAACTGAGCTTATGTCTGACCTCCGAGATGTGACACATTGATGATATCACCAGCGCCAATGTAACAATTGTGTATTTTCTGATTCCAGGGAAGTGCAATGTCTGCCCAGAGGTCACCCCTGAAGCGCCATGTGAAGATGACTGGATCTGGTACAGAAGGAAATGTTATTACTTCTCCAAGAAATTTAAGGAATGGCAGGACAGCCAGGACTTCTGTGTCTCCCACAATGCATCACTCGCCCGTATCGATTCCAAGGAAGAGCTGGTGAGTTGACTGGTGATCATGTCTGTGTGATAACTCAGGTGGACTCCTCCTCTTCAGTTCTCTATGTCTTCTTCTTTGGTCCCCACTGCAAAATACCCAACGCTTCTGGGTATGGGGGAGCATGTGACCTCCTCCTACGAATCAGTGCCCAGTCCCTTATTTATTGCACAAGGCGTCATTAACTTTTTCTAGAGAAGGTATGCAAGCCATGATGAATTTTGGTAGCTCAACGCTCAACCACAACACTGATAGAATCATGCATATCAGCTTATGAAGTGTACAACTCAAGACCACATGATGAAATAAAACCAACAACCATTTATTAAAGAATAGAAATACAACTTTCTAGTAGGCCCAAGGCGACCCAATCAAAGGAAATCTTGTAGACCAAGGGTGGGCAAACTTTGGCCCTCCAGCTGCGGTGAAACCACAAATTCCATTAGCCATTACAAGACTCTGCCAGCCACAGGCATGACTTCCAGAGACAGATGCATGAACTGATTTGTAGTTTCACCGCAGCTGGAGGTCAGGAGTTTGCCTGCCCCTGCCCTACAGTCTTCTTATGGACAATTTTGTAGTGTATAGAACTTTGTAGCCAAGAAGAACCTCATCTAGCAAAGTGTCGGGTCTCCTGAAACAGGTTTTCCATACTCCAGGTTGAAGTGCCAAAGTTTGCCTACCCATGTCGTAGTTGGTAACCTACGAACCTACAAAGTCCATCCACGTCATCTCTCGTCAGCACTTTCTATTATAAGTGAAGGAACTTTGCACTCCTCATAAACCGTTGTTGGTTGTATGACGTCATGTGGTCTTGAGGTGTAGCACATTGTTATACATGTAGTTGATGAGTGTTGAACTATCTAATTTTTAGCCTGATTTGCATACATTCTCTAGAATATGTTTGTATGTGTCCAGGAGGGTTTAGCTCTATAGTCCCTAGAGCCAAAGTAGGAAAACTCCAACCTTCCAGCTGTGGTGCAGCTACAAATCCCATTGGGCACTGGAAGACTCTGACAGCCACAATTATGACTCCAGAAGCAAATGCTTGATAGAATTTGTAGTTTCACCACAGCTGGAGGGCAGGAGTTTGCCTACCCCTGCCCTAGAGTTTCAGTATTGACAATTTTTTTGTGTCAATTTTGAAGCCAAAAAGAACCTCATCTAGGAAAGTGTCGGGTCTCCTGAAACAGGTTTTCCATACTCCAGGTTGAAGGCCATATGTCCTACAACAGTTCATGTCAGTGCTGCAGTATAGGTTGCCTGTGGTGGCCCCTGGCTAATGTAGTTAAGCTAAATTCCCCAACACAAAGCAAATATCAAAGTTTCATTAATCTGCCAGAATTCTGCCAGACAAAGTCCAACCTTATCTCCACTAAGCTCTGACCTTGTGTCCGAGGCAAAGGCTACATCTTACCTTTCATAAAGCCCCTTCTCTCCACTTCCAAAGTCTCCTACTAGCAGCAGGCAAGGAGGCTGAGAAGGTTGAGGCAAGATGGTGAGCGAGAGTTCTGTTGCTGGAATGAAGAGGTTGGTCAGATTGGTTGGAGCAAAATGTTTTAGATTGCCAAGATGAACCACTTCAACCTGCTCCTCCATCAATGGAGCTCTGTCATTATAGTGATACGATCGCCTGGTTCCAAACTGACCAGGCTCAGTTGTAGCATTGCATGGTCACACGTGGACAACCCTCACAGACTTTGGTTTACCGGTGACAGAAAACGTTATGGGGAGCAGGTTAGAAAAACCGAACTGTGGCTAAAATTATCCCGTGGTCTGGGTGTAGCAGAGAATCCAATCAAATTGTTCTTCAACAATTTTCCCAGGATGCAAAAGCATCACACACAGACCGTCTGTGCTTATCAGCCATGACATTGATTGATTGATTTATTGATTTTATCAACAGGAGTTTCTGCAGAGATTTAAAGGCTCGTCCGATCACTGGATTGGTCTGAAGAGAGAGGATAACGGGAGTCCGTGGATGTGGACAAATGGATCAATGTTTAATAAAACGTAAGTCCGGTTTCTGTTAAAACTAGAATAGTTTTGTGTCAGCATTTTAAAAATGAATAAGTTATTAACTCAGTGTATATTAATCATATTTTATAACTGGATATTTTTTACTCATTTTCCGGAATTCATAGTAATTTGATGTGTTTGTGAAAACCTTTCACAAGTAAAACAACGAGCAATTATTATTGTGGTACGGCGGTATCCTCATAATTGCATGCAATCTCCCTCCAGGTTCCACATCGATGGGGTGTCCCCGTGCGTCTTTCTCAATCGAGAGCGGATCTCCAGCGCCGCCTGTTACTCAGGTCGATATTGGATTTGTAACAAGCCAGACCGACAAAATGAAAGGTAGCTTTTGGCAAGGAGCAAGCTGCGACTGGCTGAGGGGCAAGCTGCGACTGGCTGAGGGGCAAGCTGCGACTGGCTGAGGGGCAAGCTGTCTTTTCATCCTTCCTAATATCTGGTCAACCAATGAGAAGGCTTCCTTTAAGATTGCACATGAAATGAAGAAACTGTATTGTCCATGGAAAGAACCTGAAGTGTTCCACTCTCACAATGATTGCTGCAGCTACAAACTCTGGCAGTGGTTTTGATCGAGTATCCTTTTTCCATTGTTAGAAGGGCAGAAAGATTTCTATTTTTTTAAATTATATTTATTCTTCTATTGTTCACAACTTTCACTTCCTTTTATACAACCGCGCTGGATTATTGTACATATTGCAACAGCTTTGCTTGCATTGTGCAGTGCAGATGACACCCGGGCTATGTGCTCATGTAAAGCCAACTCTGGGAAATGTGTCAACTTGTATTGGCTGCAGAAGTTTATTATCATTATGTTTATACAATGTATTCAAGAGGCGGGGACCTTACATAAATATTTATTAACATGGAAAAATAATTGAGATGTCATTTTATCTTAATACTTGGAACAGATTGCTATTTTGTATCTTTATTTTTAATATCTGACAGTAAAACATATCACACATCATAGAAAATACAAATATGCATTTAATTTAAAAAATAAAATAAAAAAATACTCCAGGAGAACGGTGGTCACGGCCATGACTTTTGTTGGGTGAAGGATCCGGCCGCTAAAGCTGCTCTGACTTTCCTATAATCCCCTGATAAAATAAACACAAAGTCCATTCTGCTCTACCATGAGACAGTGAGACAGTGAATGTTGAGTCTTCACCAAGGTCAACTAGACACACGCACAAGTATATGCAGTTGCTCACAGAGGGGAAAGAAATCTCTAACACTTATCACCATTGGAGGTCTATTTATAAAAAAACTAAAATAAATTGCGTAACCAATCGTCCGGCTGCGCACTGTGTGTATTTATTCTGTGCAAATTTACAGCGCTCTCTGGTTACTTCTAGTGTGTTTTCTATGTTACAATGTATAAAGCGGCGCCTGTTGTATGAATGGGGCAAAGTTGAATGTTCTTGGGGTATTTTCTATTGTTTTAGGCGATTTTAGGGTGAATTGTTTTTAGGTCAGGGCGCCTTAAAATTTACAGGCGGCGTCTAACGTTTGCAGTTTTCTCTAGTTGTTGTTGTCGTCAATGGAACTGTCTCCCAAAAAAAATCCTGCTGCCTCCTGGATTGGGCAGACTGGCTCCTAGATTCAGTTTTATTTTAGGCTATTTTTGGAATTGTGACTTTTATACACATTCGCACTTTTCTTTTTTATAAATAGACCCCCGTGGTATATCCCTGTGAGCTACACTGCACTGACGAGACCCAATGAGGTCGAAATATCTGTGTTTCAATAAACCTCCAGAAAATGTGTAATTCATTTGTAGTTACATCTTTACATGCAGAAAAAAAACGGGTGCTGGGTGTCCTGAATGATGACAATGACTGGAGATTGCAGCATTGGTCTGCCTTTGGGTCGGGTCGTCATTCACATCTATGGTGTCCCTGAACTGTCCCCCATCACAGTATTCTATAGAGATCAGCATTGGCTGCGATCTCATTGGTCAGCTACATACACCTCCTCACCCATGTACACATAGCTGGAATGCAGCTACAATGGATTTTCTCATTTTCCAAATGACTTCCTTAGAGGTTTTCCGGGGGAAATCATATTGTGATTTGTTGTTATTTATTTATAAGGCACACCAATAAATGGCTTATAAAACGATTTCAGTTCTTTTGTATTTATTTCAATGTTTGAAGTGTATCTTAACCCCAAGAACACAAATGTCACAGCTTACCAGTTCCTAGATGGGGCGGCTGCATTAGTTATCTATTTTTCCCTGGCGATCCTGCCAGTTACACACTTCCTGTCCTAGGGTGAAAACGCTCACTCACTGTACTGTGTCTATGGAGGAGCAGCGTTGTCACCCTAGGACAGGAAGTGTGTTAGAGCTACAGATCATCCCCATCTCCATGACATGGGCGAGGTGTTCTGTGCTCTTAACACACTTCCTATCTTAGGGTGACATCACTCACTCACTGTACTGTGTCTATGGAGGAGCAGTGTTGTCACCCTAGGACAGGAAGTGTGTTAGGACTACAGATCATCCCCATTTCCATGACATGGGCGAGGTGTTCTGTGCTCTTAACACACTTCCTATCTTAGGGTGACATCACTCACTCACTGTACTGTGTCTATGGAGGAGCAGTGTTGTCACTCTAGGACAGGAAGTGTGTTAGAGCTACAGATCATCCCCATCTCCATGACATGGGCGAGGTGTTCTGTACTCTTAACACACTTCCTGTCCTATGGTGACAATGCTCACTGATTGTACTGTATCTATGGAGGAGCAGCATTGTCACCCTAGGACAGGAAGTGTGTTAGGACTACAGATCATCCCCATTTCCATGACATGGGTGAGGTGTTCTCTACTCTTAACACACCTCTTGTCCTAGGGTGACAACGCTCACTCACTGTACTGTATCTATAGAGAAGCAGCGTTGTCACCTAAGGACAGAAACAAAGAACACTTCCCCCTATTCTCATCTCCATAACACATGGGGAGGTTTTCCATAGTTCATGGAAACAATATAACTGATAACAATCAGCCCAGGAAGAGGACACGGGAACTGATCAGCTCACACGATTTCTGGCAGGATCAACAGGTATTTTTTTTGTAACAAACAACAAAACAATTCCAATTGAATATTTAACAGACCCAAAGGGAGCAAATCTGAGACCTTAATTGTTAGGGTCTACATACACTTTAAGGGGTCTGTAAAAAAGGAGATTTACAAAATTTCACCCAAGATTCACATATTTTCTAAGTGGATTTACCTGAAGAAGCCTGTGAATCCTGGGTAAAAGTTGTGTGAACAGTTTTATAGATAGACACCACCTCCCCCTGCCCCCCCCCCGCGCGCGGTGTTCAGAAGGCATGGCAGAGGGTAGATAAAGGCGAACGTTATACAAGTTTGTTATCTTTGAATTCCATTTGTTTCTTTTTGTGTACACCAGTAATAATGTGTCTGTGTGCACCGGAGGGATCGTAGGGATCAGCAGCTCACAGACCGTTATATACGGACGTCCTAGAACATTCCTCCAGAGCACACCAGTAATGTGTCTGTGTGCACCGGAGGGATCATAGGGATCAGCAACTCCCAGACCGTTATATACGGACGTCCTATAACATTCCCCCAGAACACACCAGAAGGAGAACTGTTTGTTCTTCATTAGTTACAGTCCGGGGATCAGAGAACAGAAACCTAAACCGTGAATGAGAACCGAAAACATGGCCGGCCTGCCGAGAGGTTCAGTTTCTGACTTCATCACTCGGCCCCGGTTCTTTCTTTTTGTAACCTGGAAAGTACCTGCTGGTGATACTGAAACATTCTCTATACAGAATCTCATATAGAGAAGGTCTGGTGTGCAAATAAATCTCAATACTTAGATGAGTCTCACAGCCAATACGGGCCAAACCTGCTATTGTTATATTGTTATAGATGACCCGGAATGCAGAAGGGATGCTGGATCACATTATTGCTTACTGAATGCAACTCAGCTACCCCTGCTTACCCCTCCACCAGTGACTCAGCCACCCCTGCTTACCCCTCCACCAGTGACTCAGCTACCCCTGCTTACCCCTCCACCAGTGACTCAGCTCCCCCTGCTTACCCCTCCACCAGTGAAGAGGGGGGTGTGGGATGGAAGCAAGTGGAGGGATTGGCAGAGGGGAGTGTGGGATGGAAGCCAGTGCAGGGATTGGCAGAGGGGGGCTGGTGATGGATGCCAGTGCAGGGATTGGCAGAGGGGGGCGGGTGATGGATGCCAGTGCAGGGATTGGCAGAGGGGGGCGGGTGATGGATGCCAGTGCAGGGATTGGCAGACGGGGGCTGGTGATGGATGCCAGTGCAGGGATTGGCAGAGGGGGGCGGGTGATGGATGCCAGTGCAGGGATTGGCAGAGGGGGGCGGGGGATGGATGCCAGTGCAGCAATTGGCAGAGGGGGGCGGGAGATGGAAGCCAGTGCTAGGGATTGGCAGAAAGGGGTTGCAGATACTGAGCGGTTGGTCAGGTGGATGAGTCTAGCAGTGACTCAGCAGCTTAGCTACCCCTGCTCCCCCCTGCCAGCAGTTACCCCTCAGCTCCCCCTGCTTCCCCCTCCCAACAGTGACTCAGACTCAGCAGCTCAGCCACTCTCCTGCTTCCCCTTGTAGCAATGAGTCAGCAGCTCATCTCCCCCGAGCCCCATCACAGCAGTGACCAAGCCGCCCTATTTAGGGTAGTAAAATGTACTATTATGGGGGTTTTGTAGTATTTTTTTATATTGCTGTTTGTGTTTTGTTGCTTTAAATAAATAATATGTCTTTATAATGTAAAGTAATGAGGCTGACGGGGGGTCAATTTGTGAGACAAGAACAGGTCCAAGATAGTCCCTTAACCCTCAAAGCCATTTCACCCCAAAAATCAACCTTCATTTTACCGTCTTCATGAACCCCAAAGTGGCCAAACTCTCTGTGTAAATATTCTGGGGAAATGAAATGTCTCATCCCCTCTCTATGGGGGTCCATTTATAAAAGTCCTGCCCGTCCGCACAGCTCCAGCTCCCCTGGATGTCTCCAAAATTCCTATACTCGTCAGCCCCATCTGGGGGCGCTATTGCCATATGTAGGGGGCAGAACATTTATGAATGAACCCCTAAGGCCTTGTTCACACCAAGCGCAGAGCAGGTGCAGACCGGATGAAGACTGCGTCCAATGTATTCCAATGGTATTTTTAGCTCCAGTTGACATCGCAGCTTCAATGCTGGGCACACACCTTACAACCATGGCAAGACTTTTGTCTTGCCATGGTTGTAAGGTACTTAAAAAAACGTACGATCTGCCCATCTTGGACAGGCAAATCGTACTTGCGATGATCGCAAGCCGCGCCCCCCTGAGGGGC